TTGAAGATAGTAACACTTATGAAATACATGTAGATGTTACAGATAAAGGAAACCCACCAATGGCTGGTCACTGCACTGTCCTAGTGGAAATCCTGGATGAAAATGACAATTCACCCGAGGTGGTTGTCACTTCGCTGTCTCTCCCGGTGCTAGAGGATGCTCAGTTGGGCACTGTCATCGCCTTGATCAGCGTGTCTGACCGTGACTCTGGCGCCAATGGGCAGGTGACCTGCTCCCTAACACCGAATGTCCCCTTCAAGCTGGTGTCCACCTTCAAGAATTACTATTCCCTGGTCCTGGACAGCGCTCTGGACCGCGAGAGTGTGGCGAACTATGAGCTGGTGCTGACAGCGCGGGACGGGGGTTCGCCTTCTCTGTCGTCCACAGCCAGCCTGTCCGTGGAGGTGGCCGACGTGAACGACAACGCGCCGCTGTTCGCGCAGCCCGAGTACACGGTGTTCGTGAAGGAGAACAACCCGCCCGGCTGCCACATCTTCACGGTGTCGGCGCGGGACATGGACGCGCAGGAGAACGCACTGGTGTCCTACTCGCTGGTGGAGCGGCGGGTGGGCGAGCGCGCGCTGTCGAGCTACGTGTCGGTGCACGCGGAGAGCGGCAAGGTGTACGCGCTGCAGCCTCTGGACCACGAGGAGCTGGAGCTGCTGCAGTTCCAGGTGAGCGCGCGCGACGCGGGCGTGCCTCCTCTGGGCAGCAACGTGACGCTGCAGGTGTTCGTGCTGGACGAGAACGACAACGCGCCCGCGCTGCTGCCTCCGGCTCCAGGCGGCCCCGGCGGTGCTGTGAGCGAGCTGGTGTCGGGGTCGGTGGGCGCGGGCCACGTGGTGGCGAAGGTGCGCGCGGTGGACGCGGACTCGGGCTACAACGCGTGGCTGTCCTATGAGCTGCTGCCGGCGGCGGGTGGTGCGCGCAGCCCGTTCCGCGTGGGGCTGTACACGGGCGAGATCAGCACGACGCGCGCCCTGGACGAGGCGGACTCTCCGCGGCAGCGCCTGCTGGTGCTGGTGAAGGACCACGGGGAGCCAGCGCTGGCGGTCACGGCCACTGTGCTGCTGTCCCTGGTGGACAGTAGCCAGGCGCCAAAGACCTCGTTGCGAGTGTCTTCTGGTGCCATGAGCGCTGAGACAGCTCTGGTGGACGTGAACGTGTACTTGATCATCGCCATCTGCGCGGTGTCCAGCCTGTTGGTGCTCTCGCTGCTGCTGTACACGGCTCTGCGGTGCTGGGCGCTGCCCACCCAAGGTGTGTGCGGGCCTGGGAAGCCCGTGCTGGTGTGCTCCAGCGCGGTGGGCAGCTGGTCGTACTCACAACAGAGGCGGCAGAGGGTGTGCTCTGGGGAGGGGCCGCCCAAGACGGACCTCATGGCCTTCAGCCCCAGTCTTCCACCGTGTCCAGTACCAGAGGTGGAAACGGAAGGACAGTCTATTGGAGGGGACCACTCTAGGAAGGTGGGTATTACTTTTTAATTTTCATATTTTTTTGAATGATATTTTATTTCGCCACCTTTTCCTCGTCAAATACATGTCTTGGAATATCTTCATCCTCTGTCTGTATAGCATATTTCTATAATGCCTTAAATATATCTAGAAATACCTATTGTAGCATAGTTTAGTTTAAAAGTTGATTTTATATTTTTTCTATTGTACCCTGTGCATCAACTTTTGCTGGTTACTTCAATTTAAAAAATATGTCATTTATCCTGAACTTATTTATATTTTTACTACAAATATTTAATGTTTTTGTGGGCTTTAAAATAAGCCTTTAACTTTTTAATGTTATAAATGTTTGTAGGATTAGCACTTTAATTCACAAGTTTACTTATTTTTCAAATCTAAATTTAAAATGACCATGTTATAGTAACAAAAAGACTGAGCGGATCAATTTTCTTCCTGGTAAAAGTGTGCTCTCTATTCCCTAAGTAAAGAATATGTGTAGTGTAACATAACTTATAATGCATAATAGATCTTTAATATTCAATGTTTATACTTTATTCTTAATAGTACCACATGAAAACAAGAAGTTCATTCATAAAAGTGTTCTAATCTATGAAATTAAGTTGTGTTTTAAGCTTTTATTTTTTTTAAAATTTTTATTTTGTAGTGGTGGTACCTGTGTCAGTGTACATTACTCACTTATTTTAGCAGCAGAAAATAATTCCTATTTATTTATATAATTTTACCCAGTATCCTATTGTTTAGCAGAATGAGGCATTGCTTATTATTCAAGCATTAGCTCTTCAACTTTGAGGAAGGAGTTATGATTATGTTTACTAATGAAGAGCATTTGAAAATCAATTTTATTTTAGAAGATTGAAAATTATTCATTTCATCCAAATTAATATTAGAAGTTTCAAAAGAAAATAGAATTATCTTTGTAGAATGTTTTTTTTACTGCTTTGATATCACATAGTACAATTTAGTTTGATAATTCTCTAGTCATCTTAAACAGGGTTGTGTTGGGATGATATAGACTCAGAAATGCAAAACAATTAAATTGCATTGCCTGGCTGGTGTGGCCCAGTGGTTGAGCATTGACCTATGAACCAGGAGGTTTAATTCTGGTAAGGGCACATACCCTAATTGCAGGCTCAATCCCTAGTAGGCGGTGTGCAGGAGGCAGGGATCAATGATTCTCTCTCATCATTGATGTTTCTAGCTCTCTCTCCCTCCCTCTCTCTGAAATCAATAAAAAAACAAAATAAATAAAATAAATTGCATGGTGGCCAATACTATCTTATTAATTATGCCTTTCTGAAACTGGTTGTTACCCAGTATCTATAATTTTATTTTAAATTTTTTATTAATTTCAGTGTTACCAAATAGTAATGCATCTTGACCCCCCCCTTTTTTAGCAATTATCTTTTCCTTTCTGTATGCAGATTTAATGTTTACTCTATGTACATCAAAAATAGCTTCTAATAAAAATTGACACCTCTATTGAAGTTTAGAAACACTAAAAGAGAGAATTGTGGCAGGAATTTAAGAATGGCATTGTCTTCAATGTTAATATTTTCCATGGCCAGTCTCCAACCTTTAGAGATTATAGACAGTAAGTTATGCAGAGTATTTCAACTTGTGTATAGAATTCCTTCTTCTATATCTGCCCTCTCTTTCAGACCTTCATATCAGTGTTCCCCTCTGCAGAAAAGCCTTGTCTAAAGATAACTCTTGATGTGAGGTATTAATGAAACATAGAATTATGTGTTTGCCAATTTAGTGCTATTTGTTTTATTTTGCCTTCTTTTAAACATATTTTCTTTATAAATACAAGTATTCACAAAAATATTAATCTAACAAGTTAGGATTTTATCTAGCAGCATAATAATCTGACTGGTGTTGCTCAGTGGTTGAGCATTGACTCATGAACCAGGAGGTCACGGTTTGATTCCTGGTCAGGACACATGGGGGGCGGGGGTTGTGGCCTCAATCCCCAGTAGGGGGCATGCAGGAGGCAGGGATGATGATTCTCATCATTGATGTTTCTATCTCTCTCTCCCTCTCCCTTCCTCACTTTCATGTACTAAAATTTTCTTGCTTTTCTTTAGGGCAAATATGTTGGTCTTAGAAGTAGTTTGAATTATAAATCTTTGGCATAGATGCACTGAATCAGCATTTTAAAAAGTGTTTCAATGAAGACTACACTTTTACATAAAACCTTAGATTCCCTTGGGTATCCACATACAATGTTTTTGTTAGTAGAAAAATTTGGGGTTTTCCTAATGGCTGCCATCTTAGTGGAAGGATTTCAAATATTGAATAGTTGTTCCTTAACAGCCTTGAGAATGAGTAAAATATTTTAATTTGAAAAAGACAACATGATAAACTTTATTGTAATTGATAATAGTTATGAAAATCTCAATGTATTTTTTTGTACTTGAGATAAAAACAGGAAAATAAAATTGAATGAATGAATGGGATTTAGAATACCCTTTATACCACACTCTCCTTAAACCAATTCTGGAATAAAATGGGTATAAACAAACTGGCAACTATAACTTGAATTCCTGATTCAGTGGTGTGTATTTTTTTTAATTAGAAAGAGGTTATCTTTACAAATAGCAATGGGTGCAATGCAAATTTAAATTGTCCTTCAGGGTGGAGACAACAGCATTCATCCAGAGCAGATACAGGAATTGGAAAAAAGCTTTAAAGTGAGCCAAAGATGAGTATACCTTGTATTTCCAGAAACCAGTACTTGGTAAATTCATTAACATGAAAGCAATGAAATATTTGGATGAATTGATAAGTAGCTTACATATTTAGCACTGATTTGAAATATCATTATGTTAAAGAGGTAACTTATAGAACTTGCATCTTGAGTTACCCTCTACACAACTGGACTAAATGTTTAGAATAATTTAACATAGTATAAAGATTAAGCAATAGAAAATTATAGAATATTAGCAATGGAGTAAACTTAATAAGAACTAATTCCAAAATGATCAATTTCTAAAAAGTCTAAAAAACCAGTATCACTAGTAACCTACAACATGGAGTTTTCATCTTCATATATATGATAATATAGTTGTGTGGTAGCACATTCTCTTACATGTCCATATGCAAGATAAAACTCTTCTTGGAATTCTAATTTATAAGACATACCCACCTTTAAAGATCTAGTGGTCACACACAAGTACTATATAAAGAATTAAAGGCCCACAAAGAAAAACATGGACCAATGTGACGGGAATCACAGAAGAAACCATGTAAGTCAAAGAAATACCAGTATAAACGCGAACGTACTTCCATTTTGAGCCACAGGATGTCGTTGTTCTCCAAGGAGAGGATTGTTTTAACAAAGAAAACTACCATTATTCCCAGGATCAGAAAGATTCTCCACCTTTCCGGAGCTTTAAAGACTACAAGCACACCCATATTGTTAAGATCATCTGGGACCTCAGGAATAAAGACTCGGAAGAAATATCTCAAAAGGACTACACCTTTCTACTCGCGAAATGTTGATTTACTAACCAGAATCAAGGCATGATGTTAGCTTCAGGATCAGGTGAAGAGGGAACCCGGTTTTTGCTGCTCTCGCTTCTGCTCTTCGCTCCTCAGGAGACCGGGAGCCGCCAGGTCCACTACGCGGTCCCGGAGGAGGCCAAGCACGGCACCTTCGTGGGCCGCATCGCGCAGGACCTGGGGCTGGAGCTGGCGGAGCTGGTGCCGCGCCTGTTCCGGGTGGCGTCCAAGGGCCGCGGGGACCTCCTGGAGGTAAATCTGCAGAATGGCATTTTGTTTGTGAATTCTCGGATCGACCGCGAGGAGCTGTGCGGGCGGAGCTTGGAGTGCAGCATCCACCTGGAGGTGGTGGTGGAGAGGCCGCTGCAGGTTTTCCATGTGGAGGTGGAGGTGAAGGACATTAATGACAACCCGCCGGTGTTCCCGAGAACACAAAAGAATCTGTATATCGCGGAATCCAGGCCGCTTGACTCCCGGTTTCCGCTAGAGGGCGCCTCGGATGCAGATATCGGGGTCAACGCTCTGCTGAATTACAGACTGAGCGCCAACGAATACTTCTCTCTGGAAGTACCGACCAACGACGACCAGGTAAAACCGCTTCAACTGGTACTAAAAAAACCTTTAGACAGGGAAGTCGCTTCGGAGCTCCTCTTGGTGCTTAAAGCAACAGATGGGGGCAAACCTGAGCTGACAGGTACTGTAGAAGTACAGGTCACAGTGCTGGATGCAAATGACAACGCCCCAGTATTTGACAAAGCAGTCCATCGGGTAAAGCTACTGGAAAATACAAGGAATGGCACGCTGGTTCTTAGACTTAACGCCTCGGATTTGGACGAGGGTTCAAATAGCCGCATTCTTTACTCCTTTGCAAGTGATGTCTCCCCGGATACAGCAGCAACTTTTTGCATAGAACCAGTCACTGGAGAAATAAAAGTAAATGGAAAAATAGATTTTGAAGAAACTCAATTATGGAAGCTTCAAATAGAAGCAGTTGATAATGGAAGTCCCCCGATGTTTGGTCACTGCACCATCTTGGTAGAAGTCGTGGACATCAATGATAATGCTCCGGAGCTGCTAGTGACTTCACTCTCACTTCCGGTTCCTGAGGACGCTCTACTGGGGACCGCCATCGCCTTGATTAGTGTGACCGACCATGATGCCGGTGTCAACGGGCAGGTGACCTGCTCATTAACACCCCAACCCCCCTTCAAGCTGATGCCCACCTTCAAGAATTACTATTCGCTGGTGCTGGACAGCGCCCTGGACCGGGAGAGCATGTCGGACTACATTGTAGTAGTAACTGCGCGGGACAGGGGCTCACCTTCGCTGTCGGCCACCACCAGCCTGTCCGTGGAGGTGGCCGACGTGAACGACAACGCGCCGCTGTTCGCGCAGCCCGAGTACACGGTGTTCGTGAAGGAGAACAACCCGCCCGGCTGCCACATCTTCACGGTGTCGGCGCGGGACTTGGACGCGCAGGAGAACGCGCTGGTGTCCTACTCGCTGGTGGAGCGGCGGGTGGGCGAGCGCGCGCTGTCGAGCTACGTGTCGGTGCACGCGGAGAGCGGCAAGGTGTACGCGCTGCAGCCTCTGGACCACGAGGAGCTGGAGCTGCTGCAGTTCCAGGTGAGCGCGCGCGACGCGGGCGTGCCTCCTCTGGGCAGCAACGTGACGCTGCAGGTGTTCGTGCTGGACGAGAACGACAACGCGCCCGCGCTGCTGCCACATGGGCCGAGCGGCGGGGGTGGCGCAGTGAGCCACTTGGTGTCGGGGTCGGTGGGCGCGGGCCAGGTGGTGGCGAAGGTGCGCGCGGTGGACGCGGACTCGGGCTACAACGCGTGGCTGTCCTATGAGCTGCTGCCGGCGGCGGGTGGTGCGCGCAGCCCGTTCCGCGTGGGGCTGTACACGGGCGAGATCAGCACGACGCGCGCCCTGGACGAGGCGGGACGCACCGCGGCAGCGCCTGCTGGTGCTGGTGAAGGACCACGGGGAGCCGGCGCTGGCGGTCACGGCCACTGTGCTGCTCTCGCTGGTGGACAGCGGTCAGGCGCCTAAGGCCTCATCGCGAGCTTCTTTGGGTGCCCAGGGCACAGGGACGGCGCTGGTGGACGTGAACGTGTACCTGATCATCGCCATCTGCGCGGTGTCCAGCCTGTTGGTGCTCACACTGTTGCTCTACACAGCGCTGCGGTGCTCGGCGCCGCCCACCGAGGGCGGGTGCGGACCAGGGAAGCCCGTGCTGGTGTGCTCCAGCGCGGTGGGCAGCTGGTCATTTTCGCAGCGGAAGCCGCAGAGGGTGTGCTCTGGGGAGGGGCAGCCCAAGACGGACCTCATGGCCTTCAGTCCCAGTCTACCTCCTGGTTCTAGAGATAACGGAGAGCAACAGGAGATTTGCGGGAATGTAAGTACAGTAATTCTGGGATGTATTTCATGGCTATTAATGTC